GTTTGAGCAGAGAAAAAAATAAAACATGCAGGGCTGCGGCCCTCGAGGACCAGGATTGCCCACCCCGGTTTAGACTGTATTCCCTGCATGCAGTAGCAAACAGCGTTGGGTTTCAGTGGTTTTCCACAGAACGTCTGAGGCCTCTGTGGTCACATTGATCACAATGGCATGACGGTTTGCTTCCTGAGGACTGAAAGGTCACTTCTATTCAGCAGAGGTTTTCTGCTTTTGCTTTACGCTGAAATTTCCCCAGACTCACTCAATCTTTTTACACTCATAAAGTGTAGTTTTATATATATAAACTTCCTATTTTATTTTTCACACATAAAAATCAAATAAAATGGTTAGATGCAAGGTTTTTACATGAAAACAAATTGCCATGCGGCCAACTGGCACATATGATACCAAAATGTGTAATTTCAGCTATATAAACAAAAATATCTACAAATATAATAAAATTGTAAATTAAATATTATAATCATATCATCATACGTTGCTGAAAATGGGATTAGTTTCTCAAATAAGTCCACTCTTCTAGTATTTGTCGTGCAATGAACCAAAGGCCCTCACCAGATATTTTTGGGAGGTTTTATTTCCTGTAAGTTGAAATCCTATAATTGCTGCAGAATCCTGACACCTGTTGGTCACTTCAGTGAAACCACAACACCCCAGAGAGGAGCAGTTCAGCAGTCTTAATAAAAATCTGACATACTGTTGGGGACAAATCAAATACTCTGTTTCACTGTCTGTTCCCACATTTCCAACGAGAACAGACGTGGTTACAAAATGTTTCAGTCATTGTTTGTGTTTGATTTTTACAGTTTTCATTTTATTTGCATGTCTGTTGCCCACTGATTGGGGACCACCACATTAGCGTTATAAATGAAGCTGAGAAACATGAATTATTGCAGGATTAAGTTGTGCCTAAAGCAGAGCGCACACAGTCATGCACATATGAAAACCACACATAAATGAAGARGAGCGAATGCACTGTGATCCGTCATCTCTTGACATTCACCCTTATGACTATCATTGCTTAATGATGGGTGGTCATTTATAAATGGCCGTGTCACCTGCCTATTGTCACCCCAACAGTCATGCCCACTCAAGATTAGGATTCCAACTGACATCTGTCATGACTTATCACAATATGAAGGCAGAGGATTTAAAAAAAATTTTTTTAGAAAAGCTCAAACCAGAAATGTGCTGCAGCATGTTCTATCATTTAAATTGTTTTTTTTTTTAATATGTAAAAATGTTCCTTTAAGGAAATAATGAAATAAAACGAATCAAACGGCAAAATATATTCAGGTGCTTCAAAACCCTGACCTTGTATGTTGCAAGTTTTAAGCTTTTCAGCATGAAACTTTGCTTTTCTTCTTAGTTTAAAAACCAAAKCAAAAAGTTATTCTGTAATTCCAGTGAGTCAGCTCAGGTTAGGCTGCCGCACTTTTTACAAACCTCCCAGTGCTGCAGCTGTGGAGAATTAAACAAACCCTGGAAGTGTTCAATCCAACGCAGAGCTCGTCCAATAAACTCCGTTAGCCTACTTAATATAGCTCTGGTTGGACCTTTATTTCGTCAAAGACAGTCAATTGCCAAGGAGAAAAGAGTCATCAAAAGAAAATCAACATGGCTGTGGGCAAACAGAACTTCAATAAGAATTTTTAATGACCCATCAAGAATGGGCGCTAAAGGCGTTACAAGCACAATGATCCCTGCGTCGCCTGTGTTGTCTAATCTTTGTTTAGCATTTCCACCTGAGGCGAGTTTGTTTATTGGATTTCATTCAGATTAAAGCTATCTTATTGAGTGTAATAAAGCTTGTGTGGAATTTTACAAGAGGAGGGGAGGGGGGTTGAGAAGTGATGAATGTGTTCCCTCTCTGGGAACGCATGACGGTCAAAGGTCAGAGGCGGTTTTTATTGGGCTTGCAGCTGGTGACAAACAGGCAGATGTGAACGGTTCAGTCAACACTCAGGTAAATGGGAGCAGATGCGTCTGAGAAGCTCTAACCTGTGTGTGCTGGGGACTAAWTGGTAAACGAAGAACAGCTGTGGAGGGAAGGTGGTCAATCACAGTGACAGTCAGGTGCAGAGTGAGACTCACTGAGGCCATCTGGTGGACAGGTATGACAGAAAATCAATAGATTTGTGTTGTTTTATAACTAAATATGGTAATCAGGGTGAATCAGCATGACCACCTTCTAATTAAAACATAAACTTGGATGATGRTTAAAGTGTAAAATGTTCCAAAACTTTTCTGTATTTTTCTATAACCAAGCAACAAATGAATCACCAGACTGCCCATGTCACTGCTCAAAAAAAAACATATATAAATATATATAATTAAAAAAACAAGTAACCTGTAACAAAGAGTAGCTATTTAAACAGAAAATAGAAGATCCATTGGTCTTCATGAATAACACCCAGTATTTTTTTTAGCAGGACAACCAGATGTAATTTGTAGTTTAGTGCTCAGGCAGAAAACTTCCAGACAAAAGARGTTAAACAGCCTGCTGAGAATTTGCCAAAAAGGTCTGTAAACAACTATCAGAGCATGACTCACCAGAATCTCAGCCGAGTCAGAAGGGAAGATTAGACTTCAACAAGACAAACGATAAAACTCTACAGAAATTCTGAAGTGACCAGGCAGGACTGTAGATTTTAACTCAGACTGGCTGCACCATAATMCTCCATATGTTTGACCAATTACATTAAACTGAGGATTAGCATAAAACAAGTGGTTAGAAACAGGCAGCTATAGTGTTTTGGTTGAACATTTGCAAAGATCACATTTTTTTTAATCTATGGATCATTTAAATAAACTATCAGAAATGTCATCCTTTGAAGCACTTTTCTTAGCAGTAGCTACAAAAAAAAGAGTTTGATCAAAATAGCCTTATTTATGGCTTTTCTCTGCAAGCTAGCAATACTTTTCTTTTTTTCTTTCCAACTGGTACATCTTAATATCCAAATATTGTTTGAGGTTTCCTTATTAAATTAACCTAAACATAGGATTCAGACCAAGTATCCATGAGGTATCCTGATTGGGAAGACAAGGTATATCTCTAGAACAATTTGTGATATCAGGATGATCCAGGTATTAAAATGTAGATTAAAAAGCAGGAATCTGAAAATGTGTTGAGGTCATTTTGACCAAATTTGACTAAAACCTCAGTTTGAAATGAAAGGTCACGTATATAGTATGTTCTGTCTGATTAAAGAGCACATGAGACTGTCACTGCTGCCACAAGAAATAATGAAGTGTTTAATCTTTAAATGTATTCATTTAAATTCCCTTTCTTTGTTAAGAATTTGGAGATGTTTGTATGCATTGGTAATAAAAAGTCACATTAAGTCTATTTTAACTTCTAAGTGTGGCACTACAAAAAAAAAAAAAAAAATGAACGTGTTGAGAATGACTGGCTAATTATTCCATTTGAGAGGTTGTAATTACACCCTTTAGACTGAGCCATGGATATTCCAAAGTGGCCACTTCCCTGTCATGACGGATATCCTGGGTTGAAACAAGTGCAGCTCAGTCAGCCGTGGAATAGATTGACCTGCGCCGTGTCGGCCTTTGCTGGGTAATCTCCAGCGCTCCTGTCAGATTTGCTCCTGTAAAAGTCCCTGCGACAGAGTGCGTATTACACACATATACTGCAAAAAAAATTAGTAGCCTATGTGGGATTATGTTTCATCTCAGCAGAAAGTATTTTTATATGAAGGACAGACATTGAGGGCTCGTGTAAAAAAATAGATCAGAGCAAATCCTCCGGTGTTGCAGAACCACAGAATGACGAAGAGGAATAAYGAGGTCAAAACTTCCCCGGTGGAGTTAGGTAACTGCTGCCAGGAATGGGCCGGGCCTCCAGCGGTGATGAGGCAACACGGGGTCCATGTGTGTATAAATACGGACACGTTTTGCATGCTCAACTATCAGTCGCCTAAAGAGCTGACAAGGATCGGATCATCTGAAGGAATCCAGTCGCCCAGACAATCGCTAACCATCACCGAAGCTGCAGAGGAAATTAAGGACATCGAGGTGCTCATCGGTGGCCKGATACCCATGAGAAAGAAGACTAATCAGCTCTAATCTTCAAAGGCTTCATTAACCAAACCCAGCTAAAATGAAGGCATTCAGCATTGCAGTTGCAGTGACACTCGTGCTCGCCTTTATTTGCATTCTGGAGAGCTCCGCCGTCCCATTCACGGGGGTAAGAATTCGACTTAAACTCACCTCGTTTCCTTATTAGCTGCAAGTGTTTTGTCGCGGGGAAAAGCTGCGGCTCCTAAATGTGCYTAATTTATTAACAGGTCCGAGAGCTGGAGGAGGCAGGGAGCAATGACACTCCAGTTGCTGCACATCAAGAGATGTCAATGGAATCGTGGATGGTATGTTCAATTGACTGAATGAATTAGGCCAATTAGTAGGAGCAAATTAAAATTTAAGTGGATGTGTTTTTCCCCTACTGAAGCAGCCCGTTGCTCTCTTGAACACACAAAAGAGAATGAAGTGCTGCTGATGACACCTTACTCAAACCTTTCGTCTTCCCCACAGATGCCAAATCACATCAGGCAGAAGCGCCAGAGCCACCTGTCCTTATGCCGCTACTGCTGCAAATGCTGCAAGAACAAGGGCTGCGGGTTCTGCTGCAAGTTCTGAGGATTCCTGCAACAAGCGCACATGATTAATTTATTACTTTTTGTCTGGTCTCGCTTCAAGAAACGACCTTTTCTTCACCTCTTCCTTCATTTATACCAACGGTTTCAGGAGTACTGATTCAACATTCAAGGAGCTCTCTTTTACTCTTTTTTTTTTGTATTTATTTTGTATATTTCAACTTTTGAACCCTTTTTTTAATATACTGAGTGGGATGTACATTTTTTTAAGAAAACATGAGATGTCAATGTTTTTTTCCTCATTAGAAAATAAATATTTGATATGAATAAAAGCATTTTCATTTGACTCAACATATGTTGTGTTAAAGATAATTTGTGTCCCCCAAAATAATGACTATTCAGCAATGATTTCCAACTTTGTTCTTTGTACATAAAGAACATTTTGTTTAGATTGTGAGACATTTGATTTTCAAAATGCTACACCGTGACCTCACTAAACCCCGTGTGCTACTCTTTGTGTTTAATATTTCAAAACTTGGTGCTTCTGGGAGGCTGGTTTTATACCGAGTCATGTACCGACCTACCAACTATTAATCTCCTTACACTTTTTAGATTTACCTGGTGTTTTATYTCCCCCTTTCTTAATTATACACACCTTTTTGAGTCATTTATTATCCCTAACATCTTGTGAGAAATARGACCAGTTAGCGGTGTAATGATTCACACAAGCACCAATTCGACTTGATGATTAATTATAAGTTCATAATTACAATTATTTAAAATTTTCTTTAAACAAAATGAATTATAGTCATTTTATAACCAAATACATTTATTTTTTTAACATCAGCATTTTTGTCCTTATATCAAACTCTTTGTTGTCTTAGTAACTGAGTAAATAAAAA